CGGCCCAGAACGCGGAAAATGGGAACCCTTCCTTCCCCGCTGATTTGTGCACTCATGCGACTCTCATCGCTGTGCCCTCTTCAACACTACGCTCTCTCTGCTATCTAATCAATCCCACGTATAGAACTGCGGCGAGTGATCAGCTGGTCGGTGGGCGGAGATCGCCAGACCCGCCAACTTTGAGGCATGATAGGTCGCCGAGGTCAAATTTTTCGATGCGAATTGCGCATCAGTTCGCACCCTCAGGAGGTCCGTGGGTCCCTCAACTAGGTCAGTTTCTTCTTCCTCGACCTCCATTCTAATCGTGAATTCCTCCTTTAAGTGGTAAATTTGCCATAGCTTACCAGCATTCGCACGTATAAAGTGATGACGGTGGCAAGGCTGAAAACCACTACATTTCGCCATTTTGACTTGTTTTGTTGGATAACTGCCATTTTAAGCCGCAACGCGAACTGCAGCGTAGTATAGCAGTCATCCAACAAAACAACTCAAAAACGGTTAAACTTTCGGAAAAGCTTCTGCAAAAATTCCTTACGTATGATTTTTGGAAGTTTTTAGATTATTTTGAGATTTCCTTTTCGATGTAAATTTTCGGCGCCCCTTTATGTGATTCAACATTTGACCCATTTTCAGTCATTCTGCCTCATCAGTGAGTGAATGTGAGGCGCTATAGCAGGATATGGGGGCATTTTTGCTAACAAAAGAAAACATGTCAAAAGCGTACTGGCTGTGGACTCTTACAGGCTAGTAACAAAAGCTGGTTCTCGGCGCAGCAGAAAAACCCGGAGAAAGTAGAAAAAATTCAAAAAAAAGTGGCATTCGGATGAGCCGCTAACTTTCAAGAGCCTCTCGAGGGATTAAGCAGTTTGGACAGACTGTTGCACTGTGATGCCCCCGTGTCTTGCGATAGCGCCGAATGTGACTCAGCTTACTTGAAACAGGTATGAGAGTCCAGAAGCGCTTTGTATGTATGTATGACAGTTCGATTTTCGCATTACCCTCCTCGCCGTTTGGAGGCCGCGTTGGAACTTGTTTTGATCCTCCCATTTGATATTGTTTTCGCCGCGAAGAGGCTGAATGGATGTGCCTGAATCAGCTCCGACATAAAACATTTCCAAATGAGGTTCATTGGAAGCTTCGCCTAAATCAACAAAGCCGTCGATCCATTTGGAATCGCCCACTGGGTGGAGAACATTGTAAACCGTTCTCGTTAAGTGGGGGGACCTGCTCTAAGGGCGATCATCAGGGTCAACTATCCGTTGTGCCGATTCCGATCCAGGATTTTTCACGGCCTCACTACAACACGGCCAGTCTTCGAGGGGCTCTCCGATACAACCCCCACCGTCACCCATACTACCATGGTTTTTTCCATGGTAGTAATTATTCCTGAGACTAGGTGACACACCCCAACTCCGCCCCCAAATTTCCTCCCGACCTGCCGTTGAGTGGAAAGGTGAATATCTTGCCGCTACAAATGACTTCTCATTCACACCACTTTAAAGGAATCTTGCGCGGAAAATTCTTGCACTCTTTCCTAACATGAATATGTCAGTTGTGATCACTGGAAATAGCACACAAAGTTTCACGCATGAAGATTCGGTTTCTGAAGAGAAACAAACGTACAAAAACTACACGTTATGGACCATCGAAGGACCAGGAGGCAGAGCCAGGCGAGGCATGGAAAGAAGACGGCGTTTGGCCGGCTACGTACCAGGACGCAATGAGAGAATCGGGTTAAAGCGCGCGATTTCGGAGAGTGGAGACAAATCGATCGATGGAATAGGATGGAGTAGAAGTGTAAGATGTGAATGCAACGAAGCAGAAGGCCAGAAAGAGCTTCTAGTGAATGCACTCCAAGAACCAAGTTTGAGCATCCCCGTCGCCAGCATTCGTGAAAGACGTCCGTGGGCAATTCGAACGCGTAGCAGCCTTTTCGAGTTTTCGAATTTCTAATCAAAACGAAAGCAATACTTCAGTTCTTTTCACTATTATCGTGGATAATGAGTCTCAAGCCAGTGATTTATGGCTGAAATAGAATCATGATTTTTCCGCGCAAGATTCCTTTAATCAAATTCTACCCCTTTCCAATGCACAAAACAAGGAAACTTTACTTCATGGTATAAATAATTTATAGGTTTTTTGCTTGAGTAGTTTGAGTATCTAGCAATTCAATTTTACTGAGGCCTCCTGCTATTTTGTCAGCGGCTATAGTTATCATAAGTTTAAAAGGAATCTTCCACGGAAAGACTGCTCATCCCTTCCTTGTGTACAGGTGTTGGGCATGGTCATTGAAGACCATGTGCAAAGTTCGGAGCGAAAATGATGAAACCCCCAAGAGAAACAGCCTCCTGGAAAGACCCATCTGTGGGACCGGATTGGACCAGTAGGCGGGACCGGAAGTGCTTCTGTGACGAAGTGCGTGGCAGGTGCGGATCCACGTGTCAGTTTATGGGAAGGGCCAACATGAATCCAGTTCACGTTCACGCTTTTGACACGTTTGCACGTGTTGACTCCACGCCGCTAACAGTTGTGGAAGTTTTACAGCGGGAATTCAAAATTTTCATAGTCGAACTGGTTATCATAATTATTATCAAAACCATCGCCTATGTTCCGTTCTTTTTGCTATCTTCATGAAGCAAGGGGCCTAAGGTATCGTTTTTTGTAGGAATGGAGGCGATGTTTTTCCGTGGAAGATTCCTTTAAGGCAGGGGTCAGAACAGGGTCAACCGTCATTCTTCAGTGGGTGGGTGCACAACCACGAAGGGGTATTTATGCTTCCTTGAAAACGCGCGAAACCCCCACCCTCCCTCCCCCCGTATATTCTGCTTACCCACCGCTACAGGTGCAAACGTTGTATAGCACGGCTCAGCCTCGCAAGATAAATAGCGTTCATTTAACTTATATTTCACCACAGGCGCGGTTTACTCATTCTAAAAAAATGAGCCGGTTAGTTGGCAGCAGAAGCCTCAGTATCGCGGCAAAAAGGACCATTCAGAAATTTTGTTGGGAATTTCCTCACACTTTCACCTCTTCCTCATCTCTGTTCCTCTTCTTTCGTTACCTTGGTTCTTTCTTCTGAACGCATCGTCTTTGACTTTCCCATACTCGTGAGGATGTTATTTTTCATCTTCCTCATGCAACTTTCGGCTGAACTTTTCTATTTGTCCTGAATCACAACAATGCTGTTTACACAATCCTTTGGGCATTCGACTCTCTGCGTCACACTCCTCCACCCTC